GGGAGGTCTCACTCTTATTCGCACTTTCCAGATCCTCTGAAGAAACAGATCAATGATTAATATAATATACCTGTGAGGTTATTTTTCTGGTCTATTACAGCAGTAAAGGATTTCTTAGCCATTTAGAGGAACAAGAAGGGGAGCGGGGGAATAGTAAACAAACACCCACTATTGTTATTACACTGATGATTTTTTTTATTTTATTTTTTTTTTATTTATTTTATTTATTTTATTTTTTTATTTTTATTTTTAGACGGGGTTTCGCTCTTGTTACCCAGGCTGGAGTGCAATGGCGCCATCTCGGCTCACCGCAACCTCCGCCTCCTGGGTTCAGGCAATTCTCCTGCCTCAGCCTCCTGAGTAGCTCGGATTACAGGCATGTGCCACCATGCCCAGCTAATTTTTTGTATTTTTAGTAGAGATGGGGTTTCACCATGTTGACCAGGATGGTCTCGATCTCTTGACCTTGTGATCCACCCACCTCGGCCTCCCAAAGTGCTGGGATTACAGGCTTGAGCCACCGCGCCCGGCCGATGATGAGGGTTTTTAATCCTCCCAAGGCTGAGGACCAACCTTTAAACAAGGACTTAGGGTTGAATTTACGCCATACCTGCACAGGCATGTGTGCTAGTTTGGCTATATTCTTTTTTTTTTTTTTTTTTTTTTTTTTTTTTTGAGACGGAGTTTCACTCTTGTTACCCAGGCTGGAGTGCAATGGCGCGATCTCGGCTCACCACAACCTCCGCCTCCTGGGTTCAGGCAATTCTCCTGCCTCAGCCTCCTGAGTAGCTGGGATTACAGGCACGCGCCACTATGCCCAGCTAATTTTTTTGTATTTTTAGTAGAGACGGGGTTTCACCATGTTGACCAGGATGGTCTCAATCTTCTGACCTCATGATCCACCCGCCTCGGCCTCCCAAAGTGCTGGGATTAGAGGCTTGAGCCACCGCGCCCGGCTGGTTATATTCTTAACTGCATGACCCTGGCTGATTATGTGCCGGCAGCAGTTGGTTAGTTTGAATTTTCCACAGACTCCTTCAGCTGCTAGCAAATAACCTAGGGCCAGCTGGTTCTCATAAATCGCATTCCTCATTTGAGTTTCTGGTCTGGTCAAAATGGACAGAGCTTTGCCCGTTTCATTAGTGAATTTCCAAAAAAGCCCGTAACCGGATGATCCAGTTGCACATGTAAATAGGAGTCCAGTGTCCCCACGAGCCATCCTCCACCCATGTGGATACTCAATAATTCTTTCTGGTGGCCACTCATTATCTCTCCATTCTCCTATTTTTAGGTTTCTTTTCTCCCTAGCAGAGTAGACTGGATACCCTAACAGCTCACCTGTCTTAACAGATAATAGGAAAAATGATGCCTATAACACAGCTACCTGTCCATCTCCCAGATTACACACCTTATACTGAGTACCATTATATAAACGGTTCCCTTCTGTGTCCCTGTGCATTTATAAGAACTGTAGGACAAAAGAATGGCAGTAACTTTTACGTCCTACCTGGTGTACGTACTGAGGGCATTCTTTAAAATTAGTTAATGTTCTTACCGTACAAGTCCAAATATTAAGAAGAACAAGTCCCACGATGAATTTCCTCATGCTTCGGCTGTGCGTGGACCAGCCAGCTTCTGGGATGTGGCTGGAGCAAGCTTGTAGTCCTTCTTAAGGTGATTCTGCAATCCTTGCCTTGGTCCAAGTTTCAGCTGCTGCTGGTTTTTACACAGCTGTGGTGGATTCAGGCTGGGATTCCCTCCACCTTTACGGCTGTGGGAGTGGTTGGGATCAGGTCTGAGGTCCTTTAGAAGGGCTGTACTCCCATTCATTATCCACACATGATCACCTAGTGATCATGTGTGGATAAAGGGTGAACTGGGGAGGAAAAAGCTTACAGGACATCTGTCATTTGCCCAGGTTGAAATATCCTGAGCGATTCTCCCTAGAGCTGGTAACTAGCATCCTAACTCAATCTCTTCCCACTCCTGAGGAGTTCCCGGCAGTGCCCAGAGTACAGGAGGGAGCCTATGATATAAGATTTATAGGGGAATATCCTGTTTGTTTAAAGGGGGTACATTTAATTTTGAATAACACCAAGGGAAGTGCCTGCACCCACTTTGATCCTGTTTCCTGATACACTTTACCTAAGCTATTTTTAATGGTCTGGTTCATTCTCTTTTACTTTCCCTGAACTCCAAGGGCAATGGGCAGCGTGCAGTTTCCAAAGTAATACTCCAAGGCCATCACTGTCTTCTGGGCCAAGTTCACCGCAAATGCTGGTCCGTTGCTTGGTGTGATGCACAGTGGCAGTCCAAACCTAGGAATGAGATCTTGAAGCAGCACATGGGTTATTTCATGGACTTTCTGGCACCAGGGGCAAAGTGGCAGGGTTTAGGGTGTTGCACAGACTCCAGTGGTGATGCAGAGATTTTCATTTCAGCAGGCTCAGGTATTTGGCAGGCCTAGAATTTGTTAACCAAAGATATCCTTTGGGATTGATTAGGATCACCACTCTGTGGGATGCTTTGATATTTAAATTCTTCCCAGAGTTGAGGTAGAATCTTCAATTGCCATTCCTCTGCTTCCTTTTTTTTTTTTTTTTTTTTTTGACACATACAGCCTGAGAGGCATTGTTAAATTGGGTAGCCCAAAGCCAGGGCTGACAGAAGTTTTGCTTTTAGTTTTTGCCACATTCAAAGGATTTCCTGTCTTTTCCCTTCCCCGCTTTGTCACTTTGTGTAAGGGTTTGGCCAGTAATGTGAAGTTTGGAAATCCACAATTTACAAAACCCATGGCTCCCAGAAGCTCTCTCACCTGCCTTTTAGTCTCGGCTTGTGGCATGTTGCAAATTATTCACTTCCTTTCTGCTCCTAGGCTGCGTTTTCCCTTATGGATGTTAAACCCCAGATACCTCATTTGCTGTCGGCAAATCTGGGCTTTCTTTTTAGACACTTTATACCCACAGTCCTCTAGGTATCAAAGTAAGACATCTGTTCCTTTGGCGCACCCAACTGCCATGGGGTGTCCTAATAAAAGGTCATCAGCGTACGGGGGCAGCATGCAAGCAAGAAACTTCAGGGGCAGGGGGTGGCAGTCACATCCTAGTGCCTCCCCAAGGATGATGAGAGAGTTCCTGAGCCCCTGGGAACCTGGGTCCAGGTGTGCTGGGTGGTCACACCTGCTTCTGGATTCTCCCATTGAAATGCAAATAGTTTGTGACCTTCAAAAGCCAGCCTGATGCTAAAGAAGTATTCTTTAAGTCCAATTAAGTGAATCAACTATCCTCTGCTGGCAATAATCCCAACTGCATGCACAAATTGGGTGCGAACGGGTGCAAAGTCAGGCAAGCCCTGCACTGGCCTGGGCTGAAATACCAGTCCTCAGTGCCTGGCTAGGAAGGTCTCCACCCTTGTTTCTGAGGGACAGTGAGAGCCTGGATGACCTCTGCCTTGGGCAGAGTATCTTTCTTATTGAATGGGATAGCTGGGAGCCCTTAATTTGCACAAGTTTTGCCAGAGAAGGGAGGACAGGGGCGGTCCATTAAGTACAAGAAAGTCTGTTCTCTTAACACCTTAATAGCTCTAACGACATTGGTTTTGTTTCTTTTGATGGGGGGATTACAGGGCTGTTGTCATATGAGTTAGGCACCCCTCTCCTTTAGTCCAGTGGCCCTTTCATTAGATTGAACAGAGCCCCTTCACTTTCATCTGGATCCTCATGCTTAGGATTGCCCTGTTCTCCTGTTAACTGTGGACATTTTTTTCTTCCAATGTCCTACTTCTTTACAATGGCACACTGGTCGCATTGCAGGCATGGGTGGGCAGACTCTGGGGCTTTCCAGGAGTCCCCCTTTTCCCACACTCTTGGGGGCATTCCTCTCATAGCAGCAGCTATCAACTCGGCCTTCCATTGAGCCTGATGCTAGTTTTCCCTACGATTTTCTCTCCAGCTTACCGCCTCTCGGTTTACAAACACCTGGTTAGCTACTTCCAATAACTGTGAAGTATTCATGCATGCAAATCCTGCCTGTTTCTGCGATTTTCATCTAACGTCTTCTGCACACTGACTGACTAATGTATTTATCATGCGCTGGTTTTCAGGACTCTCAGGATCAAAAGGAGTGTACATGCAGTAAGCTTCACGCAGTCTTTCATAAAATTGGGTGGGACTTTCCTCTTTTCCTTGAATAACCTCAGACACTTTATTAGTGTGTGTACGTTTCTGTGCCCCCTTTTTTAATCTTTCCAGCAAGGCTTCTCTATACCAGATTAGCCTCTGCATGCCCTCCAGAGTGTTCGGCTCCCACTGGGGGTCAGTTCCCAGTAACTGGACCCTGACATACTCTTGGGGGTTCTGGTAATCTGCAGGAACATGCTCCTCCAGTCATTTAGACGTGGCTTGGAGTACTCTCTGCCTTTTGTCCGTGTTAAAAAGATGAATAGGCTGGGCATGGTGGCTCACAGCTGTAATCCCAGCACTTTCGGAGGCCAAGGTGGATGGATCACGAGGTCAAGAGATTGAGACCATCCTGGCCAACACAGTGAAACCCCATCTCTACTAAAAACACAGAAAGTATCTGGGAGTGGTGGCGTGCACCTGTAGACCCAGCTACTTGGGAGGCTGAGGCAGAAGAATTGCTTGAACCCAGGAGGTGGAGGTTGTGGTGAGCCAAGATCACGCCATTGCACTCCAGCCTGGCACCTTCAGAGGGTTCAAAACTAACTACAACCACGAATCTGTGTATGGAAATTAATTGAGGTGTTCCAGCTTCACGCCTTACTTTGGAGACAAGAGTCCTGTCTAGGGTCCCCTCTGCGGGCCAACCTACCCCAAATGCTGGCCAATCTACCTCACATAAAGTCCTTAATTTCTTTGATGTCATAGTTACTTTATAATTCCCACTGAATCCCTTCATGAAAATTTTCAGCATGGTCTCTAAAGGGGTGGGCTTGCTATGGGAGTGACCCATAATAACACTCCAAAAAAACAATTCCCACAGTTAGGAGAGTGTTAGTTCACTCACAGCAGTTACCGCCCAGCAAGACGCAGCATGGACTCTCCGATTTACATTCACTTCAGTCCTTTCACAACGCCCAGATGGCAGAGGCTTCTCCACTCAGCCTTATGCAGCTGTCTCTAATTCTTGCAAATTGCTCGACACATGAGGCCCCTCCTAATGGGCCTGATATCTTTCATGACTGATGAGTCGGATCCATCTACACACACACACACACACACACACACACACATAAAATTGCTCTCCTTCCAATTCAAAACCATAAGCAAAAAGCTTCCAAGATTAGTTGCAGAGACAGAGAGAGAGAGCCATCTTCAAAAGTGCCAAATCTGGCACCTATGGGTGATCAGGCCACATTTCCACCCAAAATGGGGTGGGCTATTTTCTCCGGGATCAATCCCACCATATTCAGTTGTCCGGATGTTCCAAGCACCTGTTCCTTATCAGTGCTCAGCCACTGGGTGGATCCACACTGCTGGGTCCTCCCTAGTCTGCTCTGGCAAGGCTTTTCCACCAGGCAAATACCTGCCCAGGAGCGTTCTCAGGATTTGCATCACTTCAGCGGGCAGGAACCCCCAGCAGGGATGCTCCACAGGGCTAGGCAAACGTCTGAGAGACTTTTTCCTGCCGTCTGCTATTTGAGACTCACTTTCCGGCCAACACACCAAAAATGCAGCAGGAGCAGCCATGGGAAACAGAGCCCTCCAACACTGAATGGGGAAGGAAGGGGTTTATTACAGCCAGGAGCTGAGGAATAATTTGTCGAAATTCAGCTCATTTAACAAAGGAAGGTTCTGCCTTTACATAGGCTTATACTTTAGATATTGCACTTGGAAGAATCTTAGGTTTACAGCCTTAGAAATCACATATGAGCTGGGCGCGGTGGCTCAAGCCTGTAATCCCAGCACTTTGGGAGGCCGAGGCGGGTGGATCATGAGGTCAAGAGATCGAGACCATCCTGGTCAACATGGTGAAACCCCGTCTCTACTAAAAATACAAAAAATTAGCTGGGCATGGTGGCGCGTGCCTGTAATCCCAGCTATTGAGGAGGCTGAGGCAGGAGAATTGCCTGAACCCAGGAGGCGGAGGTTGCGGTGAGCCGAGATCGCGCCATTGCACTCCAGCCTGGGTTACAAGGGCGAAACTCCGTCTCAAAAAAAAAAGAAAAAGAAATCACATATGAAAGAGTTTCAGGTTTAGAGTTTTAGGAATCACATGTGAAAAGGTTTCTGGTTTGATTTCATTTTAAGTAAAAACAGGGTCTTCCAGAGTTTCCCAAGACCAAGCCTGCCGCCACCTACGGGAAGGTGAATCAGGAGGCACCAGTCAGTCAACCTTTTCTTCTGTTGAAATGCAGAGTGACAGTCAAAGGGGAAGTTGATCCCAGATGCCTGGGTCTCCTTCCTCAGCAGAATAGGGAAGTCTTAACTACACGATTTGACTCCTGGTTCTGTAAGAAATATTAAATAAACCATTTCTCTTCCCATGATAAAATGCCCCAAAAGAATGTTCTTTCTGCATAAATAGTTCTCCTAATTCCCTTTCCTCATTTCACCATTGTCAGAAAGTGACTGAGCTAGGCCTAGAATCATCCCATCTAGGCCTTTGTTTACCCCAGTTAGGCACTGGGGTAAACACTGAGAAGAATAAAGAGTGAATCTATGATTCAAAGATTTGTTATATGGGCTTCTTTGTGTGTGTGTGTGTGTTGCTATACTCATTTATGGAAAAGAGATTTATAGTCCAGACACAGTTTCACAGCAGTAAATCTGTATGTTATAAATATCTACTCTTTCATGCTACTTTACACAAGGGATTGATCGCTAACTCACCCACAGCTCAGCTTTTCCATCTAGTGGCCTGAGTAAAATAGAAGCTTGAAAGCAAGTCCTAAGCTTTCCCTAAATTACAGTGGACGGATTGATTTCCAGCTCACCCTACCATGATTCTCTGTATTCAAAGACTCCTTTAGGCAATATTGGAACTAATTAAGCCACCCATGGAGCAGTATCCAGGCTGTTTCTGCTCAGGCTGCCCCAACCAGGATCTGGATCTGTTCGTTCACACCAGTGAGAAGTCAACACTAGCCCTGCTCGCTGGCTAAGCACCCTGTCCACTCTGTCTCTCCTTCACAATGCTGAGACATTCTGAACCTCTGTTACTAGCCTCTAGATAGTGCCAAAGGTACCGAGGCCACTGAGGAGGGGACACTTTTAGGTTTGATTGATTGTTTTTCTTTTTTTCTGAAGGTAATAGGGAAGAGAAAGGTTAGTATATCCAAGATTCCTTCAGACTCTCACACATAACATACCTGTTTTTTTACACGCAAAATGGTAGACCATTGTTTGTCATCCCAGATTTTCCATATATAAGGAAGAAGCATTTGATAACTTGGAACACATACTCTATTATTTATTGTAACTATCCAGCCTGGGAGGGGGAATGGTTTTGAAAGAGGAGAACAGGAGAAACAGACTAGGGTAGCCCTAGGTTTCTTAGATCTATATGCAGTGAAAACCTCTAATTTTTAATATAACCTTTGTTTAAGAATGTTCTTTTTTATTTCAATGCTTCATTTAATTTGCTGATGGGAGGGTTTTCCTGGATTTCAAATATTTACAAAATAAGAAAATCTGCTACCGTAACATTCTTTCTAGAGTTAATTATCTGAGGGATTAATGAAAAAAATTAGTCGAGCTACTGCTTTTTTGGGAAAGAGAATCAAAAGCAAAATCTCCTGCTATTTCAGAAAACTTCTCCACAAAAATAGAAGAGAAAAAAAACACTTTTACTTCTGAATAAATATTCAACCAGAATGTCATGCACACCACAGGTAATGCCCTAAAGAGATTACAAAAACAGAAAGAAATCTTACCCTTTTATATCCCAAGAAGATGTACTCGTTGTACATTTTCTCAAGACAAACAATGACCACTATTCAAATAAGAGAACTTGACAGCACCATTTGTCACACAGAGTTTATCCGAAATTATTTGGGGAATATATTTGCTAATTGCCCTTTCAAAATTAATTTCTCCCTTCTTTTCGATTGGAGATAGATTTGCAATTTGGAGTTAGGTGTCAACTAAAGTTAGGCTCTAGAGCAGGCATCCCCAAACTTTTTACACAGGGGGCCAGTTCACTGTCCCTCAGACCATTGGAGGGCCGCCACATACTGTGCTCCTCTCACTGACCACCAATGAAAGAGGTGCCCCTTCCTGAAGTGCGGCGGGGGTGGGGAGGGGGTCTATAAATGGCCTCAGGGGGCCGCATGCACCCGCGGGCCTAGTGTGGGGACGCCTGCTCTACAGGATTGTATTCTACACATGGAGACTGCACATGGACGTTAGGGTTTGTGCTCTGAGCTAAACTGAAAGCTACAGTGAGAGAACATAATCAATCCCAAAGATCATTTCAAAGAACAACAACAGCAAAGATTAGGCGGGAGTAGTATTTGACAGTGCTTATTTGATATTGTATCTCAGAGCTGCAAACTAGATTGTACAAGTCATTAGCATCAGATAGCTTTAAGGTTGTGACCTTCTTGTACTTGAATCTTCTAGCCAGTTTCCTTTTCTTTATCAGAGGTAACAAAACGTGAAAGCCTAAAATGTGGAGAAAATTCAGATATTAGGTATAAGCAGGCTCTCTTTCCAGTGCTGATTTCTATCCTGCAGGGGATAGGGAGTCTTGGGTGTGTTTATTTTATTCTCACATTTGTGTTTTTTTTTTTTTTTAGAAAAGTGAATGGTCAATAATGGCTTACCTTTTATGATAGAATCATTTGATACTCTTTTTTAAAAAGTATTCTGTATTCCAGAATACAATTCCTAGGCAGGGATTGTCTACCTTTCTTCTTTTTTTTTTTTTTTTTTTTTTTCTTGAGACAGAGTTTCGCTCTTGTTACCCAGGCTGGAGTGCAATGGCGCGATCTCGGCTCACCTCAACCTCCACCTCCTGGGTTCAGGCAATTCTCCTGCCTCAACCTCCTGAGTAGCTGGGATTACAGACACGCGCCACCATGCCCAGCTAATTTTTTGTATTTATTTTTAGTAGAGACGGGGTTTCACTATGTTGACTGGGATGGTCTCGATCTCTTTTTTTTTTTTTTGAGACGGAGTTTCGCTCTTGTTACCCAGGCTGGAGTGCAATGGCGCGATCTCGGCTCACCGCAACCTCCGCCTCCTGGGTTCAGGCAATTCTCCTGCCTCAGCCTCCTGAGTAGCTGGGATTACAGGCATGAGCCACCATGCCCAGCTAATTTTTTGTATTTTTAAGTAGAGACGGGGTTTCACCATGTTGACCAGGATGGTCTCGATCTTTTGACCTTGTGATCCACCCTGCCTCGGCCTCCCAAAGTGCTGGGATTACAGGCTTGAGCCACCGCGCCCGGCCGCCTTTCTTCCATTTTTAATAAGATGTCCTGGAAATCCCTCACAGAGCCAAAAGGAAGTCTGGAGAGTAGCTATAAGGAAAAGAATGATGTGGGGTGAATCTGGGGTTGCACACTGGTACCACATAGTTTCTCTGAAATTATTTCTTCTTCTTCTTTTTTTTTTTTTGAGACGGAGTTTCGCTCTTGTTACCCAGGCTGGAGTGCAATGGTGTGATCTCGGCTCACCACAACCTCCGCCTCCTGGGTTCAGGCGATTCTCCTGCCTCAGTCTCCTGAGTAGCTGGGATTACAGGCACGTGCCACCATGCCCAGCTAATTTTTTTGTGTTTTTAGTAGAGACGGGGTTTCACCATGTTGACCAGGATGGTCTCGATCTCCTGACCTCGTGATCCACCCGCCTCGGCCTCCCAAAGTGCTGGGATTACAGGCTTGAGCCACCGCGCCCGGCTGGTGAAATTATTTCTTCTAAGCCCACTCCTCATCCTTCTCCTGTGTGTTTTAGATATGACCTTTATATCACTCAAGGACAAGCAATAAAATATTCTGCACTTTGTTTTCTTTCAAGAAACTTCACAAGAGCAGTCTGTATCTGCTTTTTTTACCATTGAACCCACAGTGCCCAGCACATAGTAGGCACTCGACACATACTTGTGAAAGGAATAAACAAACAGATGAGTGACCAAACTGAAAACAGCCATCAAATACAAGGATAATACAAAAATCCATGATTCCTGTCCACAAATTTCTTTCTTTTAACCTTTTTTTTCTATTGAGATTCATTTACTTAGA